TGGCTCTCCAACTATTAAAAAGCTAATTTAGTTGCAAACATTCAAGCACTCCCAACAAACACTATCAACCTACTATTATTAAATGTTTTCAGGTAAAAAGTTTGAGTTTTGGTTTGAAGTATTTTCACTTTCATTTAAACAACTAATCGCTGGATTAAAATCCTGTCATAGTGGGAATTTCCTTTTACATACTGTTTAAAAATGAAATCAGTCTGAAAAACCGCCTGCTGATGTCTTCGCAAATGGCCTTCAGCAACTCCTTTAAAAGCAGTTCCAGTCTTCAGAGGTTTTGACTTATGACTTTTTACACAACAAGAATATGTGGGTCTTTGAAAGTAGGAGAACAGGTTACAATACCAATGAAGAGCTTGTTAAGCAAGTGCAACAAGTGTAACTCTGTGTGGTTAAAGTCAGGTGACTGTTTAATCTAGCCATGTCTGCTTTTCCTCCTCTTTGTTACAAAAGCTCATTGACCAGCTCCTGCTGGCCACCTAAAACCCTTTAAAGTCCACTGCAGTGTATAAAGTCAGTACTGACTAGAAATCACTGAGGATGCTGATGTCTGCAAACTCCTGGCGGTATCTGTTTGAGTACAAGGCCAAGAGAAAAGCCCATTTGAAGGTTAGGAAGCTCCATACACAGGAGAGGTAGAGGCTCCTTGGATCAGCGAGAGCTGTGGGACAGAATAAAGAAAGTACTGGGATTAGAAGCATCCAACACAGTCTGAGTCAAAGTATTTGAATAGTTTGTAAACATCTGCTATATTAAACATGAACCATTATAAACTAGGAACAGTGGAGACAGCATTACATTGCTCCTGCGTGATGGCCAGAGTTAGAAAGGTGATGAAGGCAGCCACAGCCAGAACTGAGAAGAGGATACCAACAGCGATGAAGAACTTGAGGCCTTTGAGCCAGGTGCGCCAGTAGTCCTGCAGGTACATGATGTGTGTCACAAGAGCCCAGAGTGCTAAAACTCCTGTTAAGAGAAAAACACACACATTTCTATTGAGTACATTATTTTAAGTCCTACACAGCCTTAAGACTACATCTAAATACATGTAGCATCACATTCAGAAGTCCTACACACATAGAACTGCAACTACAAATTATTTCTGCAATTCATCTATAAAACATCAGAGTCTACTGAAAATATTTGACAATATCTTAACTCTCAAATTTCCCCCACACAACTCTACAAAACCTGAAAATATAAACATTATTCCATAATAGCAATAATAGGATTTTTTTAAAAAAAACATGTTTTAGGTCTAAATAAACACCTATCAGTTAAAGTCACAGACATAAACCTGAATAACACTGATAATCTCTTTACAATACCCCACCTGTTGCATCTGTCAATAGGTGGGTTATATCAGGCAGCAAGCAAGCAATCCGTTCTTCAATATTTATGTGTTGGAAGCAGAAAAAATAAGTACATGTAAAGCTCTAAGCAACTTTGACCAGGATCAAATAGTGATGCTAGACAACCAGATAATCTTTAAAATGATGGTCCTTGTGCGGTGGCACCAACAGGCAGTGGTTAGTACCTACAAAAAGTGGTCCAAGGAAGGCCAATTGAGCAACCTAACCACTGCTGAATAAGCAAGAGGGTCATGTGCATCCAAGGCACACTAATGTGTGTGTGGACTAAAACCTCTGGGATGGTTGGAGGAACAAGACAAAGAATTCTCAGAATTCCCCCAGATCACAATCTGATCGCGCTAATGTGGGATGTGCTGGAAAAACAAGTCCAATTATAGGACTTAAAGTGACTGCTACTACCATCTTACTGCCTAACACCTCAGGATAATTTCAGACGTGTTACAGCGTCCAAGCCTCAACAAGTCAGAGCTGTTTTGGCTCCACAAGCAGAACCTGCCCAATAGTGACTTTAATGCTGTGTATGACTGGTGCATGCTGGTTGATATTAGATTATTAGAGATGTATCAGTGCCTGTGCACACGTTAATCAAAGGTAACAGAAACTAGACAGAAAAAAACCAATCTAGACTTGATCTTTTTCATTGTCTGCATCACAAGTGGTCGACCAGAGACCACAGACATGTTGGCTACATGGTAAGAACTTTTTGAAAATCCAAGTGACTAAATCAAGACAGTTAGATTTTTAAAACTTACAATCAACCAATGTATTGTTATCATTTTTGTACCTGCCAATTGGCATTATCAGCATGAAAAACCCAACATGAAGGTCTAGTTGACATGTGAAATTCACTCAGAGTGGCATTCTCTTAGCAAAAGTAAAACAAAACAAGTGATCTAAAAAGTCATGCACACGTGTGACCCAGGAAAGCATTAAGCCAGTTAACATAGAAGAAAAAAGTACACTCAAACAAATAATAAAAGACGTTTTATAAAGACTGCAGTGCCTAAATGAGAATAAATAGGGGACGAGGGAACACATTCAGCACTTTAATGATGGTATTATGGAGGTTAACTATGCAGGCCTGCATCAGGATTAGAAAGCCTGAAATAAATGCTCCAGTATCCTGTAAAAAGGGCAAATAATAAAAGAAATACAAGGTGTGAACATACCTGACAGGCCTCCCATGGCCGCGGTCCATGGCTGCTTATAAGCGATGTTCCAGACCAAGAAAGCCGAAAGTCCAACCAGAGTACCAAAGGTAGCATATCCGATGCTAACGTATATCCTGCTGCTTCCCATGGTTGGACACAGCTACGGCTCCTCAGACGTTAGTGACGGTCGTGTGCGATAAAAGCGTGTTAAACAGACTGATATTAAGCTACATCAACAGCTTACCGCCACATTATGCAATATCCTTAACGAAACTAAAACCACTAAAAGAAATCCCCTTCGGCTGAACAGCCTGGAAGGTAAACAACGGATACCACTGCTAGCAAAACTAGCTTTCAAAGTAGCTAAATAATAGCCGCTTTTGCGCTTTCTAACTCTCCCAAATGGCGTTGACACAGTTTAAAATTCTTGCTAGCACTAGCAGCCTGTGCTAACAAGTAGCATCAAAATAAGTGTTTATCTGACAGACGGCGCAAAGATAACGAGCTGTGAGCGAGAAAACTAAACCACCGCAGATCGGCGTCTTCAGCTGCCGATCAAAGCACTTCTTCCAGGATTACTTTTCTTCGGTTTTATCGGTCTGTCCGTGTAATTCAGCAACTTAACCCATGACAAAGAAAGAAGTTGGCGCTGCTGTGTCGAAAAAAAAGAATCATTTTGGTGTGTTTGCAGCCTTTATCCACAAAGTTATCTATCACCTTTTATTTAAATATCTTTGTACAGAGCAAACCCCCAACTCGCCGAAATGTCGCCCCCAGTGGAGCAAAGACAAACAGACATGTTACAGTTCCTCTGCAGGTACAGTCGTCCTCAAGTGTATTCATACCGTCCATTAAAGAAAAGGCTAAATTCACAATAGTCACTCAAATAAGTAGAAACTGAAAAAAGTAATAATAGAGAAACATTTTCTAAATTAGAATTCAGTGAAACAAGACATTGCTTTTGAATTGTGGTTAAAAAGAATAATTTAGAAAAAAAAAACAACTCTCCCACACAAATGAGAGCACTTTGCTGAGAAGCAGTGGGTCAAAATAGCTGTCAACAGGTGCACAAGTCTGACTGAGAGTTACACAAAACACTTGATTGCAGTGATTGCCTCAAAGGGTTGTTCAACAAAATATTAGTTTATGGTGTAGATAATGGATGGATGGATAGTCTTGGTGAATGTCAATTTCTGACTTTAAAAAACGTTTTTTT